TGCAGAAGCCCTTGTTTTTCTGAAAAGAGACTGATTCGAGTATATGCCAATAAAATGAGGAATGTGGACAGCAAAGTATAAAAATGGGGACGAGAGATGGACACTTAGGAAGTAGTGAGGAATGTTCAGTTAGCAGTTGATAAACAGCAGAGCAGGAAACACTTGGGAAACGGGATATTTACAAATCAGCAGGTGCAGATGATATATATCCCCATGTTGAAGGAATTTAGAGAACTACTGGCAATCATTTGGGGAAAGTCCTGGAGAACTGGGGGAAATAGAAAAGGACAGAAGAAAAAATGTTGATCTTCCCCAGCACCCAAAAACCATGCGAATCAGTAAATCTAACTAAAATCCCTGGGAAAAGAATATAAATCGGTAAACCTTCACACCAGAGGAAAATGAAAACATGGGCAATAAGCAGCATGTTTATGAAGAGCAACCTGTGTAAAATCAATCTCTTTGCTATGTTGGAGACAGATATAAAATGGAAGAAGAGAACACAATTAATATCTGCACTTTGCTAAATGTTGGATACAGCATCTCAGCGCATCGTACAGGAGGAATTCCATGTTTTATGTGCACAACTCAGGAGCAACTTTCAGAGGGCTTAGCCGTTAGTCTGCTATCAAGGTGATATCTCACCCCACGTATGTATAGAAGGAATGCACATCTGCAGTTCATTCCCTTGCCCATGCTGCCCCCCAGCCCTCCTCCACACACAGCGTGAACGCATCAGCCAAAGGGAATTGTTGCTTATAGCATCAGGTACTTACATTCAGCGCATTCTTAGCAGCTTCTGCTTCTGAGCGACTGTCAAAGCTGACAAACCCTACAGGCTGAGGAGAAAAGAGAAGAGGAGAGGGTCAGGGGATGACTCAGGGAAGGAGCAGCACCCTCGCCTCACAGATACAGGGACCCTGCTCACTAGCACCCACTAAGGATACTTGGGACCTGTAGTCCCCAACAGTCATCTCCCTGTGTCAGAGCTGAGGGGAGCCGAGAACCACCCTGCAGATCTCCAAGGGCCATATCTGCCCAATGGGCTTCACTTTGGCCACCTCTGCTATAAAATCACAACCTCTGCTGCCTTCCCCACCTTCCTCTGGAAGGTCTAAGTGTGCAGTGCTTGGATGAGTGTTGGGAGACATGTGGTGGACTGTGTACCCAAAGGCCTAGTACAGTGTAACTGAAACAGCATTGCTTCCCCAGTTGGCTTCAACTATGTTCTTAAAGTGGAGCCTTCAGGGACCCTCCATCCTTCATCTAGGTCTAGCTCCACTGTGGACAGCCACAAACCGGACGGGGACTCCTACCTATTTGGCAAGGACTAGAAGGGCTGTGCTGTGACTGCGCAGGAAAGCTGTGTTCGGGGGCGACCACAGGACTCCTGCTCTCTTCCAGGTGCTTGGGGGAGAAGATGCGTCTGGAGTCTCCAGGTTACTCCTGCATCCTTGCTTCCCTCCATTTTCCCTGCTGGGTAATCCCAGAGGAGCCGTGGCACAGAACTATGAGCTCTGCCTAGAGGAGGCTGCTGCTGGTGCTGGTGCTACGTGTAGGGGGAAAGAGCTGAAGACCAGGCTGAGCGCCAGGTGGCTCTCCCTGCGCCGGGCCGGATGCCAGGCTAAGCGATGCACCCCGCGCCGGGCAGCTCTCCCCACACGCCAGGGAAAAAAGCCCATTATCTGTGAGGCTCAACTTGAGCTCTTCTCCAGAAGGCTTGATTCCCCCTAGGAATGGTACTGCCCTGAGCCGCTCGCCCCAGCTGGCCTGCACGCCTTCCACGACAGGGTAAAGACGCTGCAATGAAACACTGAGGTGTGCTGGAGGACGGGGCTGCTGGACATGCCGCTCCCGAGCGTTTTAGATTTGATTCACGGTTCTGCTTGTCCACGGAAAGCACAGACTCAACAGCATCTTCACGGAGAGCTCACAGGTCTGGGGCCGTAACAGTGTGCTGCCTTCGCAGTACATACCCCATTGGGGGCACTTCATTACCTTGCTGCTCATTCCTAAATCACCTGCTCCCCACCCCCCCAAAGAAATACAGGCTTCTGCTCCTTGCCTTGAGCACAGCCAGCGGCTAGGCCGCAGGGAGGGTGGGGGCAAGAGAACATCCTGAACCTGGGTGTGCGGCGAGGCCGTTAGCTGTGCTCATTTGCTGTTTCTAATCAGTTTACAGCTAATGTCGGATACTGAGGTTCTGAGCACTGGTTAGGCCTTTACCTGTTTAGAGGTGAGTTTTATAAGAGAGCCTTCATAACCCTGCAAGAAAAGAGAAAAAGCGTTGTTTAGTCAAGGCACTCACCAGGTCGTGGCGAACAGTCAGTGCTTAAAGCTAAGAGGGCAAAAAGCGTAGGGTTTGGTGTTGTTTTTCACTGTTTTACAGGGCACGCTGGCCCTTTAAGGCAGGCTACAGGCCACTAGCCATGCCAACCTAGACCAGAGCCATATGGAACCACAGGCCACAGCAAGGCCTGCTGGGAAGGGAGCCTTCTGTACCCTCAGCCAGGGAGGGGCCACGGGAATGGGCAGAGAAAGCCAGAGGCTGGGAGAGGCGCTCTGGATCTCACCATAGGTGGCTGGCAGGAGGCCTAGGAGGCCAGTTTCTGGTGCGGTTTCTGCAGAACCCCGAGGAAGGGTCCTTGGGATGGGGCAGAGAAGTGGGCATGCTTTGGGGATGGATCAGACAGCTAATAATCCTTCCCAGGGTCAGAGCTCCCAGGATGGGGAGGGTGTGAGCTCCCCAACAGCTATAAGGGACACGGCACAGAGAACACCCCTTTGCTGGGCATAGAAACAGGGGTCAGGCAGTAGCCCATGCTACAGCCCTTGGTGTTGCCAAAGCTGTGCAAAGGGGCTGTACAGCTCCCCAAAGAGAGGATTCCCCTGGCTCTCCTTCACTCCCCCACAGCCTAGGGGATGTGTTAGGGGCTGCCCAAAGGAGTGGGTTGTGACAGAACCTACCCCTGTGTTCACACCCTACACACGACTGTAATCATCTTTGTACAAAGTACGCCCTGTGAGGCATCATCTGAAAACTCATCATTTCCTCGTCAATATTGTCCTGGTAAAATGTGTAGCAACATTATATGTGAAGTTATAAGATTCCACTGTACGGTGTAAACGCATGTTCCAAACTGAGGCTGGCAAATAGGTCTGTCTCAAATAAAGGGGTGAGTGCTGTGCTTAATTTGCATTTAAGCAGTAAACAGGGTCATCAATCAGGAAAGGGAGACAAAGGAAGCTTAAACCAGTGAGAAAAAAGCAGCAGGGAACATCCTTCCATATAGACCTTTAGTCTCCTGGTACCCAGCTGGAAATGTTTTCCAAAAGGGGGACTGAAAATATAAAAAGAAGGGGCAAAGCCCCCGCCCTCCCCCCGCCCAGCCCATCACATTCAAGGCACTTGAAGCAACAAGACTAAGGAAGCATTCGTTGGATTTTGGGGAGAGGGTGTCCTGGCCTAAGAAGTTTGGTCAGTAAGACTGCCAAAAGCATGTAGTGAGAAAACGTTGTTTTGAATTGAACACAGTTTGTTAAGTTAGGCCAGGTCCACACTACAGACCTGCTGACATAGCCACTGCCTCTCGGAGCGGGAGATTAACTATGTTGACAGCATCGGGGCAGTGGCATCTTCCCTAAAGTGCTACAGTGGCGAGCTGCACCAGTGCAGCGGTAACATTGTGTGTGAAGACAATGCCTAAGGGCTTATCTTGATTTTTCTTGTAACCATTTCTGACTTTTATGCCTCATTACTTGCACTAAGTTAAAATCTCTCTTTGTAATCAATAAACTAATTTTACTGTTTTGTCTAATCCAATGTGTTTAAATTGAAGTGTTTAGGAAACTCCATTTAGGGTGACAAGTTGTATGCAAATTATTTCTACCAAAGAGATAACGGACTTGATATAAACTTGTACTGTCCAGGAGAGGGCTGGGCAGTACAGGACATACACTTCTGGGGGAAATCTAAGACTGGGAGTGCGTTGGAGTCACCCTGCAGTATAATCAAGGCTGGTAAGAGCCAAGGCATGGCTGGCTGGGCCCTAGCACACACACAGACATAGCTGGGAGTGATTGACATGCTGGAAGCTGTTTGTGAGCAGGCCAGGACGGAGGCTACAGCGGCAAATTGTAAAGGACACACCAGGTCACAGAGCAGAGGTGACACAGCCAGTGGCAGATTAGCCACTGGGCCAACGGGGTCCGTGCCCAGGATCCCTGGCCAATTGGGGGGCCCCAGAAAAATGGGCGCCTCTATGCCCTGACCCGCTCCATCCACTCGGCACTCCTGTCAGGGAGCAGGGTTGGGGCACAGGGGCTTGTCCCGCTCCACCCGGCACTCCAGCTGGGAAGCGGGGCTGGGGCATAGGGGCTTGTCCTGCTCCACGTGGCACTCCTTCCAGGGAGCGGGGTCGGGGCGCAGGTGCTTGCCCAGCTCACCCATGGCAGAAGCGCCAGGCGGGTGGAGCAGGGCAAGTCCCCACACTCCAACCCCATTCCCCGGCACAAGCACTGGGCTGGCGGAGCAGGGAAAGCCCCCGCGTCCCAACCCCATTTCCCCAGCAGGAGCGTGAGAAGGGGGAGGGACTGCAGACGGAAGGAGTGGGGAGCGGCCCCCCACTTGCTGTGGCCCGGGGCCCCACAAAAGCATAATCCACCTCTGCACACAGCTACGCATTAGTCTGGATTGTCCCCTTGTATGTCACAGGGGTGTTGCTTTAAATTATTGCAGGGGCTGAAGTGGTGTATAGCCACCTTTGTCCGCCACCTCAGGGCCTGTGCCAAGCCCTAAGAGCCTAAGCTATGGGATTCAGTGCTTACAACTGTTCTAGTTGCAAAAGCTGGAGCTGCCTTCCTGTCTCCAATCATTCCTTATAACTGGAAATGCACATTTTGTGTGGTTCTAATTTAAGACCGAAGTGACGTAAGAAACGATAGAAAGCTTGTTAGGATTATCCCAGCATCTGGAATTCCACAGTAGTCCATAGTATTGCTGTGTGGATATTTGAAGTGTGATCCTCATGTGAATAATAGGGTCCTGTATTTTAAAAGAGACAATATCCCAGATTCAGTTCTTGGGGGGTTAAGAGACTCTGTGGGTCTGGAGAGGGTTAAAGGTTAAAGGTGACATGGTCATGCGGCTAAATGTAAATCAATGCAGCATTTGGACCTCCCATGTAATCAGGCAGACTGAAATAGCTTCTCAATCTTCTGCCAGGAAAAAATATTGCGACATCTTCTGTCATCATGTCTATGGGCAATGAATGAAATGATCAATGAAGTAGCCTTTCTTGGGGAAACTGATGATGCAACAGGTAAAACATGACCCGATAAATTCTGCAGCACCGCTGAGCGACTGCTAGCTTTCACTGTGCCCCCTATACAGAACTCAGCTCTTCGGGGAGTGACTCATACTTCATCATTTATTTACATTTCACCACTTTCTTTTCCCAAGTGATTTGATTGTAAGCACTCATTATATGCAATGGTTCACCAGATAGATTCTGGTGAGAGTCTCAAAAGCCCCTAAATGAGTTAGGAGCACAAGTTCCATTGCAAGTCAATGGGTCTTGCGCTTGCAGCACTCTTAGGGTGCTTTTGAAAATCCAACTCGGTATGAATAAGTTTTACCTGTCACCTCCCCTACAGTGTGTCTGTTCCCTGAGCAGAGGAGTGCAGCTTTAGAATCAGGGATCCAGTGAAAGTACTCAGGATTACAAAGCCAAAAGAGGCTTTCTGCAAATAATGTGCAATAATCACGGACAATTTGCTATTCCTGCGAACATTCCTGCCAATAAACGTGGTTGCTGGCATAGCTGTGAAAGGGAAGCACAAAAGGAGGGCAAACACAGGATACGTCTATACTATCCGCTGGATCGGCGGGTAGCGTTCGATGTATCGGGGATCGATTTATCGCATCTCATCTAGACGCGATAAATCGATCCCCGAATCGACGCTCGTACTCCACCTCGGCAGCGGAGTCGACGGGGGAGCCACGGCGGTCGCCTTGCCGCCGTGAGGAAAGCCAGGTAAGTCGAACTAAGATACTTCGACTTCAGTCTTAGTTCGAACACACACACACACACACACACACACGTGTAGCCCAGGCCACAGCTGAAGCTCATTTGTTTAAAAATTCAGTCCAACGTTTGCAACCATTGTTTTGCAGTATTCCCCCACCTCAGCAAAGCGTATGGATTCTGATGGGGCTACTGGGTTCCACAGTCTGGCAAAGTATTTTAAATTATTAACATTGTTATTAATTAGGGGCATTACAATAGCATCTAGGAGCCCTACTCCTGGACCAGGACCCCATTGTGCTAGGTGCTGCACAAATACATTCATGGACTTTCCTCAGCTTCGCAGTGATGCTTCAGCCGTTTTGTCTAAAACCAGATGCAAATCTGAATATTGAGTTTAAAATGTCAGTAAACCACGACGAGAGAGAGGTGTTTTTAACACTGTATTGTTTATATCCTAGTTTAATAAATCGCAAACAGGAAACACTCTAACTCAGAATTTGTGATTCAAGAGAAACTCTCTGTGTCCATGGGCTCCAATATACAATGTGTGTCCTCCGCATTACTTCGAGGAATTTAAGACTTCAGGAGTCTCCCACTTAACAAAATTCCCTCAGGCAGTGGAAAGTGGATGAAAGGCAATTTAAACAGGGATTCCTTGGTTATACCGTCAGTACAGGACATGCTGTAGGTAACACAGACACAATTAGAGTGCATAAAAAGATAGAGGGTCTGTCACAAATCTTTGCAGAGCGCCCCCTTTAGGAGCTGAGTGGTAACCTTCATCCACATTTGTGGGGGTAATATTGTACCCCACAAACATACATTTTGTGATAACTCATGAACTAGTGACCCTCCACCTATGCTGTTTTAGGACGTTGTCACCTAGGCACATGTACACAATTCAGCAATTTTTAAAAATATTTAACATGAAAAACATTTTTTCTGTATCAAAAAAATGTATGTGGGGTACAAAGGTACCCCAAATGTGTTGCACGGTTATTCTCTATTTTTAGTAGTTCTATGTACACATTTGCGTCTAGTGAGAGTATCTTATATTGTAATGGCAGTGACAATGGTTGCTGTATGCAGTCATCCTAATATGGAAGGTACTCCAGGGAGGTTGGTCCCTTCAAATCCGGGCTTGTCAGGTATCCTCAACACAGAGCAGACTGATGCTGGCTCTCTTTTCATAATACTCTTCAGGGGATTTTCTGTCTAGGTATCATGCTCCAAACA